CCCATATATTTTCAAATCTCTCCCACATTAACCTTGATTCCTCGTAAATGACTTCGTACTCGAAGAAGTCCCCATTGCTCAAATCCGCGGCTTGGACAAATAATTTGTTGAGACCGCGCTTGAGATGGCGAAGCTTACGCTCGAGTGCGTCACCGTGGCCAGGTAAGTCGTTCAACTGTTCGTTACCGCCACCCATGGTTTCGAATGAATATATAATTTGAGGAGACAATCAATAAGTTTATTTAACGAAGTCGTAAAATTGTGAGAGATCCAAAACTAAAACTTCGAAACTTGCCTGATTCAAATTTCTACGAAAAAGATTTCAGAACAAAAAAAAACTCAAGCTTTAGATAAAAATTTAAGATGCAATAAATTATCGGATAATTAAATATAATCCGTTAAAATAAATATCCATGCATATAAAATAATGAAATTCAAATAATTAAATAAATACTCATGCGCTTAAATTGATGCTAGATAAATAATTTAATAAATATTTATGCATATAAACCAATGAGATCAAAAATTAAATAAATATTTGTATATATATATGAAGGATGAACTGTAAGTAATTATATAGATAGCTATGCATAAAATAAAAACCAATGAAATGAAAACAATCACAAAAAGAACAATTATGCGTATACAATAATGACATATAAATACCTTAATAAAAAGAAATTAAACATACGTGAAAAGCTAATAAATATATAAAAAATTCAACAATATTTAATAAATATAAAAACATGCATGAAAATGAGGTAATAAATCTATATATAAAATCAACAATATGAAATAAAATATGAAAACGTGCGCACACTTAACAATCAATAAATACATGAACAAATATTCAAACAGTTGAAGTATATATAAGTAAATTCTGAATAAAATTGTTCCTAAAATAAAATGCAACAATTTTCTTAATTATGCAAGAATATTACTAAGAACAGTTATATGTTTCAATATTCTGCTTGTATATTATAGTTTTATGAACTGACAATCATAAATCGCGCAAAATGCATCTAAGCTGAAAGCTGAAACAATGCAATAATTCATAGAGTATACAGCGAGATCCGAATTATTTGGATGCTGAAGAAATTGAAATACGTACGAAAGATAAGTTAGAAGTAGCGGCGGAAGTAAGCATAAATGTTGTTCTCAATGGAATTAGGCGGCGGTGACTGTTACTTGAAATGGTATTAAGAGTCACCTACTGGCTGTCTAAGCCGTTTAATATTACGTTAATTAATACAACATTTTCGCTAGTAAAACGCTGCTAATATTGAAAAATTTAATTAATTTAACGCAAATAAAAAAAAAATGACCAAGACGAACCTAGAGTTAAACTGAACCATTAAACAATTAAAATATTTAGATCATGGGCGGATGTTTACAATACTTTCATTCACAAGTATTCCTCCTCACCCGGGGCACCATATGTTCAATATTGGGGGGCCCGGTACATGCCATATGACCGGGAGCCCTTTTCTTGAGAGATACAAAAATAAATAAATGTTCTAGAGGGGAATACTTGTGAATATATGTATAAAGGTTTACGTACAGTTTGATGAAGGGGCCGGTCTCGCGCCTTCTCTCTCTCTCTCTCTCCGCCGTTGCGGGTCCAGAATTTAGCCGAAGGCTGTAGTTCTCGAGGTCTGGTCAGGAGGTGGTCGTCAGCAGCCCCTTTTGCATTCTTCGCTCGCTAGCATCTGTCTTTTGGCCGCAGATAAGGCCGTCTTAGAGAGGGGGTAGTGCAAGTTGAGACCGGGGGTCCCCCGTGTTGTTTATATAAGGCACTTAATACATTTCAAAATATTATATACAATAAAAGTTTGGATTTAAATCCAACAGTGAGAATAAAAACACAACAAGCCAAGTTGGAGGTTCTGCCTCCAACCTGTTACCTTCCGATCTCCAGCTGTCGAGTAATCGATGGTGGGGTCGTATCGATATGTATCGATTACTCAGCTGCGCCCAACAGCTGATCCTCGAAAATGGCGCTAGGTGAGATGTGGCGAGATTAGACGGCCTGGAGCTTGGTGAGATTGGTGGGGGTAGACGTCCACTCTGAACGAAAGACAGCTCTAGACTCGCTTCGGCCGTATTTTTATGTCTTAATCCCTAAGACAGGGTATTACTGCCGGGCTTGTGTGTATACAACTGCGATAATACATCGCGAATAAGCCTAAATCTATAAACAGTGTACACCAAAATACATTTTTGGGATAATATCCCTCGGCCTATTACACGAAGAAAATAACTATTTATTCCATTAACATTTAAAAGGGTAAATATGGTGAGAGAAAAAATAAACGAAAGGAAGATAAAATACGTAAATTCGGGCGTTAACACATACGATACTGTAATTTTTGTTGTATGTGTCAATATGTCATTTATCCACAGTGATTTAGGTCCCCTCAATCATTTACTTACCTGGCTTGACGAACTTTCCTTAGATCATAGTCCATTATTACTCCAATTATCTCTAGCTCCTTTTCCTAAGTCTCCTCCACCATTTTCCATCAGAGGTCCATTTAACTGGAAACTCTTTCACCAAATCCATTCCGATAAAATTGATCTCAGAATAACACTGAAGACCTTGACAATGCCGTACATTTTTTTACCACCACTATCCAGAAAGCAATCTGGACTGCTTCCTCTCCAAATCTCTCCTCAAGAACTCTCAAGAAAAATAAGTTACATCAACACCCCATAGACCTAATCCACACCAAAAGCCGTGCAAGATTATTATGGCAACGTACTAGACACTTCACCGATCGTCAATCCTATAATTATTTCTGCAAAAAATTAAAGCTAGGATTGGCCACATTCAGATCCCAATCCTTCAACTCTTACCTTACTTCCCTCTCTTCTCATGACGATTCCCTATAGATGATCACTAAACAAATCCTAAAACCCCATCATACCTCATACCCTTTCCGTCGAGGTAATGGCTCTTGGGCAGCGTCTGACGAAGATAGAGCCGAGGAATTCGCCAACCAACTTTCCCATACATTCACCGGAATTCAACCATACCCACACGTCAGCAGTAGAGGAATTCCTTAATTCACCCATCCCACTCTCCTTACCGCCTAAAGCAGTTAATCCTTCTGAGATAAAATACCACTTACAAAAACTAACTACCCGCAAATAACTGGACCTCTCAGATCCTTAGACAACTCCCTCCTAAAGCTGTCATATTTCTTACATACATATACAATAGCATCTTATGGACCATCCGCTTTCCTTTTTTATGGAAACATTCTACTATTATCCTATTCCCAAAACCAGGCAAACATCCCAACAGCTTAACTTCCTATAGACCCATTAGCCTACTTCCAATCCTTTCAAAAATCCTTGAAAAGAATCCTACCCTTTATAGAATCTCAAAATCTTCCTTCACACCAGTTCGGATTCCTTTCCCAACACTACACAATCTAACAAGGACTTCGAGTGGTCGATCATATTTCCGCAGCCCTGGAAAGCAAACAATTTGCTCTGCTGCATTTCTGGACATAGCTCAAGCTTTTGACCAGGTATAGCACGCCGGGCTTCTTTTCAAACTTAAAACCCATATGCCTCAGTCCTTATACCTTGTCCTCCGTTGATACCTCTCAGATCATACCTTTCATCCGACTCAGATCCTGATATAGCATCCTTAAACCTTCAAAGACACATCTCCCTGATTGTAATAAATGGCTTATTAAAGTAAATGAGTCCAAATGCCAACACATCACCTTCACACTCCGACGCAGTTCCTGTCCACCAGTACTCTTGAATTCCATACAGCTTCCGTTCTCAGACATAGTCCGGTACCTTGGCTTTCTCTTAGACAGACGACTAACGTGGAACCCTCATACTAGACTTAAAAGACAGGAACTTAATCGACGATACGGCCAATTATACATACTACTAAATAAAAAATCGAAACTCTCTATTGAAAATAAAATACTTATCTACAAGACAATACTGAAACCTACTTCGACTTACGGACTTGAACTGTGGGGAACAACAAAATTTTCTAACATCAAACGCATCCAATCCTTCCAATCCAAAGTCCTTCGAACAATAGTCGATGTTCCTTTCTATGTAACCAATAAAACCCACACCATGACCTTGATATCCCATTTGTCCTAGACCTTTTCCCAAGCCAAATACTCCAAATTTCATCAGAACCTTACCTATCATCCCAATCCCTTTTTATAATCCCTTGTATTGCCATATTTTTTTAAAAATCGATTTTCAACCATTTTGCGGCGCACAGTAAGATGATTAAGGGGAAACTCGCGACATCGGCTAAATCAATTTTTTTTTTTCAATTGAACTATTCAATAAAAACAGTGAAAAATGTATATTGTGTCGACTTAAAACATTCTCAGGTATCACAACACAAGGTATCAATAAAACAGTTTAACTAGTTTTTGGAGATTTAAAAAATATATAGATTAAGACAAATTCAAATTGATGTCGCGAGTTTTTCCTTACTCATCCCACCGCGCACTGTAACGAGTACGAAAAAAAATTGTACCCCTCTGTTAATTTATGGATAATGTTTTATTTAAAATTAAATACATTTTAGAAATTAATCGTTCCTATTGTTTGTGTATGCATATTTCAAAAACCGTTCAATGCAATCATTGTTTTCAAAGCTCATTATGGACTGTTAGATACATTTTACCATTAGAAAACATCGGTTGTACATTGAACAGTTCTACATCCATCAATAACTTTTCATTCTGTTTACAAAATGCCTCAGGTTCCACCAAATTAACCCGTATTCTTCTCAAATTATCAGTTCAAGATTAAAAATTTTTTTTCTTCCAGATCTTCTCCCCATCTGTTTTAATGTTTGCGAAAAAAAGCCGGTACCGTAAGCGACGTATTATCTTTAGAGAGATAATATGTCACTTAAACAACATTAATATTGATGGCACTTAAGAAATTATATAATTTTCATCAAATGGATATTTCACCAACTCTCGAGATACAATATCGATTAGATTAGATACTACATACATTTAGTTTCTTCCGGCGGCAGAACACATGAAATGTATCAGCTGAAAGGTGAGTAATTTGTTCTTATTTGACTTTTTTTTTTGTTCTTTAAGTCTGATAAACAATACGATTTTCTTTCTTTACTTATCTCTGTTCACAATTTCTGGAGTAGCTCCTGACTGAAGAAATATATTAATGACAATATGTTTTAAATGCTAACACAAACTGATTAACTTCTTTTAGTGATAAAACCAAATTGGTTAAGCCGTAATGTGTAATAACTTAATATTATTGATATGATGTTGAAAGGGTTATTTATTCGTGAAAATATTTTATTTGTAGGAAATAGGGATAGATTTTTATTTATTTCCGAAAATAAAATGTTCACAAACATAGCACTCAGCAACAGCAGATAGTATGTGCTTGGGTATCTTGGATCGATGTACCTCCTGTCTCTCGTTAATGTTTCTTTTTTGTACCGTTGATGATAATGTACTGTCTTATATCCATGACATTTTAAGTTATTCTATCCTTAATTGACTAAACGGGGACGGCTTAGTTTGTTTTACCTGCATTTTAGAGAGTGAAGACTTTGTGCTTGGAATTTTCCCATTACATCATACCAATTAATTTGTACTTTTTTGGTATAGCTAATTATTGAATTTTTTGGTCTTTCATATAATTATTGAAACATGTAAATGCAAAAGTTAAAAATTGTTGCTCAAATATATTATAATAAATATAATCAAACGCAGTATTTGACTTAAGATGTCAATGCGTTAGGTAACTGACAAATCCAGCTTTTTCTTGCATAACTGATTGATTTGAACTTGATGATGCAGGGAATCGAAAAAAGTCTTTGACTTTAGCCAATAACCAGTTAATACCAGTAATGCGGCAGATTGAGAGGCGCTGAGATTTCTTAGAGTTAGAGTCCTGCGTTTCCTTTCACGAGTGTGGGGAACTCACTCGGAGAGCTTGAGTGAATGAATTTTGCAAATATTGTAAAAAAGCACGTGTATATAAGTATTTATTTCGTTTAGTCTAGTTTCTATTTATTTAGTTTAATTTATTTTGTTTAAGGTCTAGGGTCCCTTAATTATTGCATCTCAAGAGTTGATGATCTTTCCTCAGACCATAGTCCCCTAATCCTAACGGTTTCCACATCACCAATTCCCAAACCACCTCCACCTTCATTTATCAGGGGGCCAGTTAATTGGAACCTCTTCCGTCAAATACTTTTTTTTTTTTTTAAATCTATTTATTGAATAATAATACAATCAGCCACTGCTGGAGGGCTATAAGCATTAGGGCTAAAAGTTCTCATTCATACAATATATACAAATAACAAATAAATAAATATACTGGATGATAATATTGACCTCAGAGTTTCCTTAAAAACACCTGCAGACCTAGATGAAGCAGTATATTCCATGACTACCTTGATCAAACAAGCAGTTTGGACTGCATCTTCACCTGATCCTTCTAAAAAATTCCGCAAAACAAATCCTCTACCCCAAGACCTACTGGACCTTATTAATAGAAAACGATGCTCTAGGACCATCTGGCAAAGAACCAGGCATCCTGATGATCGGAAATCATATAACTATTATTCCAAGCAAGTAAAACAAAAACTGGCTACGTTTAGATCCCAATCCTATAATTCCTATATTTCCTCACTATCTGCAAGTGATAACTCCCTCTAGAATGTAACTAAAAAAATCCTTAAATTCCAATCCATTTCCCACCCCCTCCGCCGTGATGATGGTTCCTGGGCTTCGTCAGATGAGAAAAGAGCAGAAGAGTTTGCTAAACATCTATCGTACACATTCACTCCTCATCCTGAACTCCATCCCTCCCATACTTCTGAAGTTAAAGAATTCCTCTCTTCACCGATTCCTCTCTCCTTACCTCTTACAGCCGTCAACCCCTCTGAGGTCAAATTCCTTTTAAAGAATCTAAAACCTCGCAAATCTCCAGGACACGATCTCCTTACTTCCCAGATCCTCAGACAACTTCCCAAAAAAGCAATTATATTCCTTACATACCTATTCAACTGTATCCTCCGCACTACCCACTTTCCTCTGGTGTGGAAACACTCCATAATTATCCTCTTTCCTAAACCAGGTAAACCTGTTAATTATACATCATCCTATAGACCGATAAGCCTACTTCCGATCCTTTCCAAATTCTTTGAGAAAATCCTTCTCAAACGCATTCCACCCATACTCGAATCCCACAATATCCCTCCGCATCAGTTTGGATTCCGCTCAAGACACTCCACTGTCCAACAAGGCCTTCGCGTTGTGGACCACATATCCTCTGCACTTGAAAACAAGCAATATTGCACTGGTGCCTTTCTGGACGTAGCTCAAGCTTTCGACCGGGTGTGGCACGATGGTTTGCTTTTCAAGCTGAAAACCCATTTACCCCAACCCTTGTACCTAGTCCTCAAATCCTACCTTTCAAATCGCTCCTTTCAAGTCCGCTGCGGCACTGAACTCTCTAAACATTATCCAATTGAGGCTGGTGTTCCACAAGGCAGTGTCTTGGGCCCAGTTCTCTACATCCTTTTCACCGCTGACATCCCTTCAAGTCCTGATAACTTCCTAGCATCATTGCTGATGATACTGCCATCCTATCCTCTCACTCGGATCCTCTAATAGCGTCCCGGAACCTAATGAAGACACCTCTCCTTCATTGAGCACTGGTGCAACAACTGGCGCATCAAAAAAATTTTTTTTTATATATATATATTTGTTTATTTAGAAATATTACATTCTGTCACATCAAGGACATTTATAATAGTGTTCAGAAAGCACACTCACACTCTATTTACAATAATAAAAATAAATAGTACAGAACCTTAATAATAATAAATACAATAAAATAAAATAAATGTATATAAACAAAAGAACTAACCTAATCAAACACACTCGGGCTTGAGTGGAGGATCTGGCCATTGCCAAAACTCCAATAGATGCATATTTACAGAAGGCCTCTGGGCCACTGCCGCTTCAACCTTCGAGGAGGATTGTAAGGATGGGTGGTGCTGGATAGAGATTGTGCAAGGGGATTTGGATGATAGGTAAGGTTCTGGTGAAATTTGGAGAATTTTTCTGGAATAAGGTCTAGGACAAATGGGATATTAAGGTCATGGTGTAGGATTTTGTTATTTACATAGAACGGAGCATCAACTATTGTTCGAAGGACTTAAGATTGAAAGGATTGAATACGTTTGATGTTAGAAGCTTTTGCTGTCCCCCACAGTTCAAGTCCGTATGTCCATATAGGTTTCAGTATTGTCTTGTAGATAAGTAATTTGTTTTCAATAGAAAGTTTGGATTTTCTGTTTAGTAGCCTGTATAGCTGGCCGTATCGTCGGTTGAGTTCTTGTCTTTTGAGTCTAGTATGAGGGTTCCACGTTAGTCTTCGGTATAAATGAAAGCCAAGATACCAGACTGTGTCTGAGTAAGGAAGCTGGATGGAATTAAAGTGTACTGGTGGACAGGAACTGCGTCAGAGTGTAAAGGTAATATGTTGACATTTAGATTTATTAACTTTAATGCGCCTGTTATTACACCAGTGCTCAATCAAGGTGAGGTAGCTTTGGAGATTTAAGGATGCTATGTTGGGATCAGAGTTGGATGATAAGGTTGCTGTGTCGTCAGCGAATGATGCAAGAAAAGTATCGGGATGAACAGGGATGTCAGCAGTAAAGAGGATGTAAAGCACTGGACCCAAGACGCTGCCTTGGGGAACACCGGCCTTAACGGAGTAGATATTGGAAAATTCTGTTCCACAGCGAACTCGGAAGGAGCGGTCAGAGAGGTAGGATCGGAGGACTAGGTACAAGGACTGAGGTAAATGGATTTTAAGCTTGAAGAGCAGTCCGGAGTGCCATACCCGGTCAAATGCTTGTGCAGTGTCCAGAAATGCACCCGAACAGTATTCCTTGTTTTCTAGGGCTGAGGAAATATGATCAACAACTCGGAGTCCTTGTTGAACAGTAAAATGTTGGGAGCGAAAACCAAACTGATGGGAAGGAATATTTTGGGATTCTATAATGGGTAGGATTCGTTTCAAAAAGATCTTTTCAAAAATGTTTGAAAGGATCGGGAGTAGGCTAATTGGTCTATAGGATGTTGAGATATTGGGAGGTTTGCCTGGTTTTGGCTAATAGTGGAAAAGGATAATAGTGGAGTGTTTCCATAACAGAGGAACGTAGGTGGTGCGTAGGATACAATTGTAGATATATGTAAGGAATATGACTGCTTTGGATGGAAGTTGTCGAAGGATTTGAGGGGTAAGGAGATCATGTCCAGGAGCTTTACGGGGGATTAGGTTTTTTTATTGAAATTTCACTTCGGAAGGATGAATAGCTTTTGGGGGCAAGGAAAGTGGGATTGGTGATGTAAGGAGTTCTTCTACTGTTACGGTGTGGGCAGGATGGGATTCCGGATGTGAAATAAATGTATTGGATAGGTTAATGGCGAACTCCTCAGCCTTATCTTCGTCAGATGCTGCCCAGGAGCCATCATCTCGTCGGAGAGGATGGGAAATGCGGTGAGGATTTAGGATTTTTGTTGTGGTTTTCCAAAGGGAATGTCGCGAGAAGAGAGGGAGGATAGGTAGGAGTTGAAGGAATGTGATCTGAAGGTGGCTAATTCCAGTTTTAATTTTTTGTAGTAATAATTATAGGAGCAGCGGTCGGTAGGATGTCGGGTACGTTGCCACAATAATCTGGCACGGCGTTTGGTGTGGATTAGGTCAAGGAGGTGTTGGGGTAGAATGGTCTTTTTAGGAATTCTTGAGGAGTCTTTTAAGAAGGAGGCAGTCCAGGCGGCTTGTTGGATTGTGGTAGTAAAGGAATTTACGGCACTATCAAGGTCATCGGGAGTTTTGAGGGATATGTTAAGATCAATTTTATCGGAGATGATTTGGCGGAAAAGGTCCCAGTTAACTGGGCCCCTAATAAATGACAGTGGAGAAGGTTTGGGAACGGGTTCAAGTGGAACATTAAGGATTAGAGGACTATGGTCAGAGGAAAGTTCATTTAGACGTGTAAT